TAGTGTATCTGGACACGTATATAAAATTTGGAGTCAGATTTCAGAGCTCGACATCAGCTAAATTCAAGGGCATAATAAGCACAATGAGAACAAAAATATCCGGTTTAATGTCATCATTGTCAAACAGAGTGCTCAGGAGGGATTTTCCAATCATTTTTCTGGTTACATCGGCCGTCAAAATTCCTCCAGATACCCTTAACGCATTCGGTTGTAGCTGTTTCCGTAACCTGCATATTGTAAAGTTCGTTATGATGATGATGCCTTCTATCCGCCTCATCGTGGTTACCCTCTGATGATCTAATCCCATTATTCACACCACGTTCAAAACGATCCATGGGTGAAGGGAATCTACGGAATGAATCATAATGATCATCAAAAGGAACAGGAGATCGAGGACGGCCATGGTAAGGATTACCGTGCTCTGACCTTGCTGCATCTGGTGGGGAACTTTCAGGAGAACTCGAATGTGATGGACGTGGGAGTGATCCCATTAACATCAGAACAAACGACCGGGCATCTCGCCTCTGGTAATAGCCTCCTTGTGAGGGGATGGAGGTGTTTGTATCGATTTAGGGTTTTAATTATGCATGGTTTCCGACATTTCCTGACTCCATTGCCATGAGTATTGTGAAACTGACACCTTCTGTTTCTTCCTTTTCTGTCATGTCTAGTTTTGGAGGACCGCGCAAGTTACTGCGATAGGCTGATATGCATTTCTGTTATGTGCTACGTAACCTAGGGCTTCGAGTTCGTACCAGCTGTTTAACCGAGTTGCACAGCTTGGCCACTTCTGAATCCTGGCCCTTGGGTTTATCGTAGACAGAATATACTTTGGAGACTAGTCTGCTAGCTACCTCTAGTATTTTATCTTCTGAGGCTGCCAGGTCATCGAGCGAAACTGGCTGTGGTGTCACCAACACGGTCTGCACCGTGTGTAATAACTTCGACAGAAACAATTGTCGGAAAAGGCGATTATCGAACTTTCGTGCCACATAAATTCTCACATGCGTGCAAGCACATCAGTAGCTGATTTTCTGCCTAGCTCGACGTTACGAAACAATCCGCCTGGACCAAACAAATCCAAAAGACTTGGTTGCCAAACAACGAGTGTATGTTCAAATTATGGGCGAATTCTGTGAAAATTGTTCTTCATAGCAAAATACACGTCCGAAATTTGTTTGAAAACCTTCCATTTTAAAGGCTACTGCAGTTTCTGGTCAAAACGAAATTCAATGGTGACAAAAATCGAGAAACGAACTTCAATATGGCTATACAAACAAAGTGAACGGAGTCAAACGAAATGAATGGTCAGTGTTTTTGAATACATTACAAGAATAAGAATCAGAACGCATGCGACAGTATGTCCCTGCCGAAAGGATAAAGGTACAATTTAAACCCCAAATACCCCATTACTGAAGTGACATTGCCTGCAGTCCAGCTGACAATCCAGAATGCGGTGAAAGCCGATACTAAGTAACTTTATGGTAGGACTGGTTTTTGTTTATTGAGTAAGTTAGTGAGAAGGATTAGATGAATGCAATGGTCTTACTCTTCACTGTGTTCATGGAATAAGTTGCTATTATGGGGATATTCTTTCGACTAAATTTGGCTTGATGCAGTGCCGCCAATACAATTAAGAAGTGGAAAATATACTGGGGAGTAGTTGTCTAAAAGTTGTGTCGGTATTCAAGAGGCATGCGAGTTGGAGATCATCCTCGACATGAACCGAGTTATGTTCAGCGTCGCCCCTCGAGTGTTTTCTGATAGCAGTATTTGCATTCAGCACACCTACTCTGTCACTTATTGAAGCTTAGCTGTACCCCTAACCTTAGAGGATACATAGAGCAGGTAGGCCTAGAATGCTCTTCCTGCAGGCGTGATCCAGGCTGCCTCATCTGAATCCTCTTGGCTACTCTGATACATGGCTGGGAACTGCTTAGAACTAATTGAATTCTCACATTTTAGCCCCCAATTTTTTCCATCTCTTTACTTTTACACAGGTTAGCAGCCACAACAAGTAGTGATCCATGGATTTTAGACGCAAAAGCCCGTTAAGCGAAAGCTTCTTCTGCCGCCCCAACAACCGTTTGAACTATTTAATAGGGATGCATTGGAAGGGTCTAATTTTTGTATAAATTCTGTTTTGATCAGGACCACTAGGCTAAATACCTTACTAAGACGTGACGTCTACGACAGATATGGGTTAAACTTGCGGGGCCTAGTATGTTTATGCCTCTAGTTAATACATGATCAAATTCAGCCAGGAAGTCGTCACTTGTGGACGAATTGGAACTTAAAGTAGAATTTCGTTTGCGAATTTTCGGATGCATGCCATTATATCTAGCGACTGGCTGTGAACTCTTACTGTTGCGCGGAGCAAAAGGTGGAACTTCATGCTTCACGAGTTTTCCATTCATTATGCTTAAAGTAGGACGATGTAAAGTCCTTATTGCTAAAGTTAACCAGTATTTCGGTGGGAGAAAACTTAAACGTTGTAAGACGTATGAAGGCACATGATGGTCTATGAAGAGGATTATGCGGTTACCTCGGTATCAAAATAATTTTCATTGACTGAGAGAGGATGTGGGAAATAAACCACGGTTCGAAGTGGAAAACAGGGAGAGTATATGGGTCTAGCCCTCTTGTTTTGAGTAGGCGGTCAATGTTGTTGATCAAAGAAGGAAACAGAAGATATTAAGTAACTTTATAATATTCAAACTCGCTTGAAAAGGTGTTTTTTAATCTTAATCTTCACAGTAATGTTACCAAGAAGAGATACCTTTTCATCATAGAAGAGCCAATGGATTCCACTCCCAAACAAATGTTACAAGAGAGGAAAAATGTCCAAAATCACTACTCTATCCAAATTACTAGGTATTCAGTAGTCAGATCTGTTTAGTAAATGAATTTTACATGATAATATAGAGGGTGAAATAAAAGGGGCACAAACCTGCCATTTAACTGTTGCTTTGATAAGGCCCAACTAATAGATTAACTGGATGATAAAAATGAAAACTTATGTTCCCAGTATCTGAACAATCTTAGCCTGGCGAAAATGATGTGTCAGGGCTAAATCAGTAGATTATACGAAGCAACGTTTCTGCAAGCCAGTTGTCTCGAACGTCTTCTTAAGCTATCATTCTGTAATAACTCGGAAGGAAACGTGGTAATAAGTAGCTCACGAAAATAGGTCGGTGCAGCTGATTATGTTCACATTAGTCGTTTTGATGCAGACCTCATCAAAATGCAGCCTTATGAGTTAGAACTAAGTGGATTCAGACTTGCAGGCCAAAAATGTCTCACAATAGGTGGGTTTGAGATTCAACAAAGTGTACAGTCAGCTGAGCGCGAAATCGCAGAGAGGGGGGTTCAGGAATATCGGGCTTAAGTGAAGTTTACTAAAAAAAAGTGGTGGAGCTCACTGGCATAAATGATTCAGAAACTCTAGTCACTATCACTGTCCAAGAGTCATGGTTCATATATGAGATTAGCTATATGACATTCGCCTAAAGGTCTTCTTTCTCCACAGAACAGACAGACCGGTGCCTATAGTTGGCGGTGCCATCACCCATCTGAAAAGCGCTTTGTGTGTGCAGTACGTGGAGACGATTGCAATTGACAGTGCCTTGTGTGAATGGAACACACTAACTCCGTATATCTTAGTGATAAGTAGAAAGCAGATGGTTTTCGACTGGATAGTTTGGGCGCCGGGACAACCAGGTATATTTTCTTGTCTTCTGTCATGAAAAAAGTATAGGTTTCAAGTGTTACCTTCAAATCCATGGCCAGAGCACTGGAGCTGTGATCACATTCACGCTCATAGCCATAGGGTTGAACGCGTTCGGTTCCGGAGAAACTCAATGAAGTATCCCACAAATCGCCCACGAGAGATAAAAAAGCTCTTCTATGCGCAGAAACTGAGATATGCATCCCTCCATTGTGGACGAATACTTGCTCCAGTTTGGTCACTAATCTTGATATTTCCGAAGTGAGAAAATGCAGTTAAATTCCAAATGGATACATTACTGCACTTCGTCAGCACCAAATTTAATCGAAAACACCTGGGACGGGTCACAGTAGAACACTCTAAGAGGCTTCTCTCCTACATGAAGAACATGAGCAAGTTGCACCATAGAGTGCATGCCCTCATAAATGAGAGAGACATCTTCATTAACGCAAGATTGGGAAAAAGTGGCTCTGGTGAGGTATTTTGATGAGACCTCTAGTTAGAGATGAACATGAGACACGTCTTCACCAGCAGAAGCCCTAATGTTGAACGAACAAGACAGCGTGAACATTGACTGCAGTGACGTATCGTGACCTAAAGACCAGATCACACTGCCGTTTAGTTATAGCTCAAAATTTCGTGACGCTTCCTACAGTTTGTCAGATCTTCACTTCGACCACTTGTGATATGTCCCTTACCTCATACGCGACGCTTGACAGTTATAAGCTTGTAAAGTAAGAACATGCGAAAAAATCAGTGCCAATTCTTTTGAGGCAAGAATGTGTGTCATAGGGTTCCCTGTCTGGGGCGCCGGTGACTACAACGTCAGACTCCTTCAAACAGCTGAACATACATTTTGATAGAGTAACAGGACGGAAAGAGAGTATTCCCAGTGTATGACCTCGATGAGAAGTTCTGACTGGTCAGTAACCATGATAAGTCGTCAATATTAATATTCGCTCTTTTTTTTTAGAAGCACAGAATCAAACTCCACACTGGAGACCTGACTCTAGTAATGCAGAAGAAGCTCAAGGGACTCTTAGTTCACGATTTATGTACGAAGAAAATATCAGTTCTTTAATTCAAGAGGTCATAAATAAAAATGTTTAAAAAGGATTGTTATAGGCCTACAGCCTTCTATTCTCAGGACAGAATGTAGATATTTCGGGTTGAATCTCGAGAGTGAGTCGTAAAAGTAGAAATAAGTCCATTAGTATCATTGTAAAACACATCGGACGCTGCAAATCCCAGTCAGTTGTTTAAGTTGGCACATGACTGGTCTAGGCGCCCTCTTATCCCATTGGTAAACACTACTGCGGAAATGTTGCCGTCGGCCAAAGGTGAGTTTAGATCATGGTGTTTGAGGAATACGCATTTTTATGTGAGCTAACATAGTATTTTTCTAATTTAGCTCGGGAATGGCAGCAGCTTCAGTCGAAGAAGTTTTCAGAAAAACGCAAGTTTGGCTTCGTGGAAACTCAAAAGGATGAAATGCCTCCAGAACATGTACGTAAAATCATCAGGGACCATGGTGATATGACCAACAGGAAATTTCGACATGACAAACGTGTATATCTTGGTGCTCTAAAATATATGCCGCATGCAGTATTAAAGCTCCTAGAAAACATGCCTATGCCTTGGGAACAGATTCGTGATGTCAAGGTTCTCTACCATATCACTGGTGCAATTACTTTTGTCAACGAAATCCCATGGGTCGTAGAGCCAATCTACGTCGCCCAATGGGGAAGTATGTGGATTATGATGCGTCGAGAAAAGAGAGACCGTCGCCATTTTAAGCGAATGAGGTTCCCGCCCTTCGATGACGAAGAGCCACCACTCGACTACGCAGACAACATACTAGATGTGGAGCCACTTGAACCGATACAGCTGGAGTTAGATTCAGAAGAGGATGCTGCAATCCTGGAATGGTTTTATGACAGGAATCCTCTGGCGGACTCTAAGTAAGTCAGCATTTCGCGTTATACAGATTTAAATGTCAAGGTTTCTAACATAAATTGCATTCGCTTAGCTGCATTGATACGTATCTAGTTGGGAATAGATCACATATAAGTATGAAGATGTAAGAGCAGTTGGAACTTCCCGCACCGTGGGAGGCTAATTCCTGAGGTACTAAAGAAAAAAGGGTTTGCTCCTGATCACAGATTATAAGAGATGTCTGCCTGTGATCGGTCACGACCTTTTAGAAGTTTGATGGTTTAGTTCGCTTTTGTAAATCCGACTATGAACCCTTATCGCCGGCACTGGTGTGCGGCGGGTAAAGAAGACTGCTGTTTTTACGGTCGGCCGTTCATAACCCCCTTTCCTACAAGGAAGATCGCATCAGTGTTGCACTGCCTGTCATACACGTTAAATTCCCTACTACTGGTCTACTGTCCGGCTAACAGTACGACTTTACCCTAGGACTCCCACTATGGCATGGTAATTTACACCATAATGGTAACTGCTTTTTGTCCTGCCACTGTCCTGACCTTCGTGTTACGGTAGCACCTTAAGGAACAGCTGTTCTACCAGCATGGCTCGTTGGGTCACTGTGACATACGAACCCGATCACCGATTCAAGTTATCAGCTGTCAAACCTCTTGACACACAAACAATAGCCTTCTAAAGAATTGAAGGTGTACTTTATGGGGAATAAGGTGTCGTGTCTAAGGCTAAGTTCTTGTTATTTCATTTCTTTAGGGTCATTCACCTAATTTGCTGCGAAGTCGTGTATCACAAGCTACCATGACATATAGTATGCCGGGCTCTCGATCATAACATTTTCGCTGTAGTCCAGACTAACATAGTAAATAAGTGGTGGTCACTGTTCACCGGTTTACCGTAAATATGAGTTCACTGTGTTGTCTAAACCGGTTGATCAACTGACGTGAGGTGTGGCAACTCGGACCGTTACGCAGTAATGCCTGGTCCTATGTTGATAATGATTGATTGATTGACTAAACCGGTTTCCAGAATGGTAGTCGATATTACAGATAGCGTCGTATGCTGTTCGTGGGTAAACGTCATCCCCATCCAGGTTTCCCGTGTCCGTCATGACTAGCGCAGCTCAGTAAATATTATTTGTCGCTACTTCGATAATAGTTTTGTCACTTGTATTCGTGGATCTATAATTTGGTTGTTTGCCTTTGTCACGTAGTGGCCTTCATACTTATATATTTGCTTATCTGTCACGGTGCAAGTTCTTTGACCATATAAATATGATCCAACCGACCCAAGTGCACATCGCTAATTAGGTCAAGAACCATAGGTATTAAATGGGGTATATGCCCCTATGGTTGCATGGATTAAAGTTGGTGCGGTACTTCGTCGAACCTGCGCTTAAAAATCGAGCACTCAAATCAGTTAACCACATTCCCAGTTTGCGAGAAATTCATCTTTAGCTCGCTTATTATGTTTGGGTTTTTCTGAAGATAATGGTGTGATTTGATTACCTTTCCCAATAAGTTTCCGAGCTAATCACATTTTGGTGGTATGTTTACAGACACCCTGCGAACAAGTGCCAATAAGCACGAACCCTAAGTCCAGGTCTTCCTTCCGATTGCCTCAAAGCAACTTATATCCATCAAAGTGCCCCACTATAAGCCCCTTGGCTTGGTGACCATATAGCAGAAATAATCGATGGAATTCGGTTAGCGCTCAGGACTAGACAACATGATTGGTTGCCCCCCAGTGACAAATCTATGTACTTATTAACAGTTAGTATCCACTGACAAATCACCTTAATTAAGCCTGTTTTATGTCCAGTAGCTTGGATGAAGTTCCTATGTCAAAACCTTGTTTCAAATCGACTGCAAGAGCACCTCTAGAATTCGATTTTGATCTCTTTTGACTTATCTTTCTACACACTGTCCTGTCCTACCAACAGATTTATTAAATTAAAAAAGCTGACTAATGTACTAAGTCCGGTTTAGTTGTTGATGATCTACTTCAATATATGAGAAGGGTAGTGGTCACATTTGAACTCTAATATTTTAGTGTATCAGTCATACTTACACCTACCACTTATTCTTACGACCGAAGCACTTTTTTCTAATTAACTTTTCAGAGCAAGCTTTGTCTGAGTATTTTTTTTTCACTATGTCGTTTGTACACAACCCATCAACCCTTTTTCCCGAGAAGCCTTGTGTTTCGGCAGTTTAACTTCCAGTCATGTTTGTACTACCTTTCATTGAAAACTATCTACAGTTTACTGTCGCTGAGTGTCATCACACTGAGTCAATAAGCATACTGTTGTTGCGGAATTAGGAAATCTGCTTCTTTTAGCCTCCTAATCTATATAGTTTCGTGTTATAGAAGCATCATATCCTTTACCGACTTTCGACTTTCACAGGACATGCAGTTTATGGAACGTCAAACGTTAACTTACATAGATGGTCGTCACGCGTGATCTGCAGAGTAAGTCATGAAATACATCCACCCAAACTACAAAGCAATGCCATTGGGAGACCTGACGAGTTAATTCATAACACCTAGTTGCCGTTCTTCAATCCGACAAACCATTTTTTCACTACCTAACGATTTAATCCATACAAACCGTAAGTAAAGCCAGACTTATATTAATTGGTTCAGGTGCATCATAATTTTGATGCTTCCTTCTAAGTGTTGGCCCCCGAGTTTAACATCTCTTTCAAAATTGAGTATTTGCTATGCCTTTCCAGTCGTCAGAGTGGTATCTAACTGTCAATAGCCAACGTTGTACATTTCAAATTGAAGCTCGAAACTGGGGTTTCCAGTTTTGTTCATGCTTTAAATCAGCAAATTCAAGTTATATCTTTAACAAAATGTGTATACACTGCTTACTATCAACATGGTTTTTTTTGTAGGCACGTCAACGGAGTTACGTATCGACGGTGGAACCTGCCGCTGAACATTATGTCCAACCTGTACCGTTTGGCCAACTCTCTGCTAACAGATCTAGTTGATGACAATTATTTCTACCTGTTCGACCTAAAGTCGTTCTTCACGGCTAAGGCATTAAACGTTGCTCTTCCTGGAGGTCCCAAGTTCGAACCCCTAGTTAAAGACAAAACTCTAGAGTAATGTGCTTTTTTACTTAATATATCAATTTATAGGGATGAAGATTGGAACGAATTCAACGATATTAACAAGATTATTATTCGTCAACCCATTCGTACTGAATATCGAATAGCATTTCCATACCTTTACAACAGCTATCCATTTCAAGTACATTTGTCATGGTATCACACCCCTAATGTTCTTTTCATTAAAACTGAAGATCCTGATCTCCCAGCATTTTACTTCGACCCGCTAATTAATCCTATATCACAGCGACAAGGCGTGAAGGTACTTTTTGTTTTCGTTGTATTGCATCCCTTCCTTCTTAGGCCCCAGATATACAGCCAGTTGACGATGAAGCATATGAACTCCCTGAAGGAGTTCAACCATTCTTTAGTGAAGCTCCTTTGTATACCGATAACACAGCAAATGGAATCGCCCTTTTATGGGCCCCAAGACCATTCTGTTTAAGATCAGGGTCTACTAGACGAGCTATTGACATTCCTTTAGTCAAGGCTTGGTATAGGGAGCACTGCCCCTCAGGTATGCCTGTAAAAGTAAGTTCGCTTTACTTGCCAAACATTTCTTCCAGGTTCGTGTCTCCTACCAAAAATTGTTGAAGTACTTCGTTTTAAATGCTCTACATCACCGCCGTCCAAAACCTCAAAAAAAACGTTATTTGTTTCGTTCCTTCAAAGCTACTAAATTCTTCCAAATCACCAGCCTGGATTGGGTTGAGGTTGGACTTCAAGTGTGTCGTCAGGGATACAACATGCTTAATCTATTAATTCATCGGAAAAATCTCAATTATTTGCATCTAGATTATAACTTCAATTTAAAACCAGTAAAAACCTTGACTACCAAAGAGAGGAAGAAATCTCGATTTGGTAATGCTTTCCACCTTTGTCGCGAAATACTTCGTTTGACAAAGCTTCTTGTGGATAGTCATGTTCAGTATCGCCTGGGCAACGTTGATGCTTTCCAGGTACGTTTCTGTTTTTCTGTCTGTGACTAGTAAGGGGTTTTCCAAAGCTTCTTTCTAGGAAATTATTGCTTATGTGATGAAAACGCAGGGGTCCAGAATGTGGTCGTCATGTGGACCACATAGCGTAGGGATCATTGGTTGTATATTTCAGCATTGGTTTTTATGCTAGGACACTGCGAAAACTGACAGTTACAACTTAAATGCATTCATAAGATAGTCGCATCTTGACCAAGCGTTATTGCGAGGTATATTCGCTAACAATAGCTTCTTTTTGTTTTCAGCTAGCTGACGGTCTGCAATATATTTTTTCGCACGTTGGGCAGTTGACAGGAATGTACCGTTATAAATACAAGCTCATGCGTCAGATCAGAATGTGTAAAGATCTCAAGCATGTAATTTACTACCGTTTTAATACTGGACCAGTTGGGAAAGGTCCGGGCGTTGGATTTTGGGCACCAGGTTGGAGGGTTTGGTTGTTTTTCATGCGTGGCATAACACCATTACTTGAGCGTTGGTTGGGAAATCTCCTATCACGACAGTTTGAAGGAAGACATTCTAAAGGTGTTGCTAAAACGGTTACAAAACAGCGAGTTGAGTCCCATTATGATTTGGAGTTACGCGCTGCTGTCATGCACGATATACTAGATATGATGCCAGAAGGTATCAAACAAAACAAAGCTAGGACGATTTTGCAGCATCTAGGGGAAGCATGGCGTTGTTGGAAAGCCAATATTCCTTGGAAAGTAAGTAATATCTACTTTCGTCTGTTTTATTTACTTTATCTACGTAGTAAATCCCAATGACCATTTTTCTAGGTTTTCTTGTAAGCTCTTTTGAGCTTCTTTGTTTAGTGTGAGTAACTCCATGAGCCACTATCTCATTACTTAAAGGGTTACTTTCAACAGCAGAAAAAATAAGTGTAAATATTCCCATTGAAGCATAAGAGAGAGACTTAGGCGCACAAATTTATTCTCAGCGATATCATTTCCGTTTGGTAGCTGTTACCCTGACGTGGTAGTCGGGCTTGCATATCGCAGTGATCCAACTAGCTGGCTGATGAAACAGTTGCTTCCTTGAGCTCCTACCATACCAGAGAGATCTGTTGAATAGTCATAGGCCGAAAGAAGTTGTCGTTGTAGTGTAAATTATTACACTATGGTGGAAGTCTGAGAATGAAATCGTACCGCTAACTCGACGGAGGTGCCACAGCAGTCAGGTGTTTCCGTTGAACGGCTAGTGATGCCACGCTGATCCTGTCTTCTCAATAGGAAGTGGGGTTAATGAAAGTCAACCCCCAAAATAGCATAGTCCCTGCCCCACGGTTTTCTGGTGCCGGGAGTGTTTCATCTCTCCAAACTTCAGAACAACAGCCCCCAAAAGGCTGTGCCTGACAGGCCTCCGTCAGATGTCCCATGGGCCCTGTGGTCACACAAATCCGCTCCTGTTTCTAGTGCCTTAAAAAGACCCAGCCTTCTACGGTGTGGGCAGCCGGGGAGTGTCGACTGCTCGCATGCTGTCAGTGGTACACAATACCCAACCGAACATAATGTCTTCCTCAACCCTGTCTTCTTTGCCTTCACCTACTAATACCAATATTAGGCCTCTTACACCTTACCCAACCTCAATTTAAAATCATTGTCAACGATCCAAGCCATCGAAACCTCAATTCTAGTCTCCTAAGTCCCCGTCATCGATTTCATGTGGGAGCCTTCAACGTCCAAACTCTATTCCAAATCAAACAGCAAGAATCGCTCGCCAAAACTTTAAAATCTCTAACCGTTGATGTCTCTGAGACATGTACAGGACCCGAGTGCGGTTATTAACTTAGCGTCACCTGTTAGTTGTAATGAATCTTCAAGTTCCACCTTACGAGTATCTGGATACCATGTGATGAGCTCTCGTGAAGTCACTGGTGTAGGGGTAGCATTGAATTGTAGAGCAGAAGGTGCACTTCTTGACTGGATACCGGTCAACAGCTATGTGCTGTTCGACCGAATGTATCTGTAAGCACTAGGAAGGATAATGAGACTAGACGATGCTTATTCGTAATCTTCACCTAAGCACTGATCAACTGCAGTTCGGATGATGCGAAAGATGAATTCTGTGAGAAGCTGTCAACTTTGATACAGAAAGCAAAACAGTCAAGTGTAGGTGACTTTAACGCTCAAGTAGGGAAGCTGAGCCGATCGGAAAGGCATCTTAGTGATGTTTACGGAATCCCATGCAAACAAACTGGCAACAGTGGTCGTCTGCTATTTCGCTCCGACAACCACTTTTTCTGGTCAGCACTAACCTTAGCCATAAGGAGAGACACTGTTTCACGTCGCGTCCACCGACATCTTACCAATGATGGACACATTTCTATGAGCCGTCGTTAGAGAGGATTGCCACTCTTTCTGGAGTGCCTGTCTGGACTCCGACCACGCGCGAGTTCGGGCACGTGTATATCCATGGCTTTACTGGCCACAGGAGACAACAAGCCTGTGTATGATTAGTAGATGAAGACTCCATGTACTTTTGTAGAGAGTATATAGCAAACCATCTGAACGTGACAGTAATGCTCATCTGAGGAAACCGGGTGTAGAAACAACGGTAAAGACAATTGGTAGCCTACACCCAAAGGTTAGTAACGTCATTTGATTTCCGCGACATCCGAACCGATTGATACTAGAAGACTGATTCCAGTTGGATCTGACCAAAATGAAGAGCGAAAGTAACTTGGACGTAAGATGATCATAATGATTGCGAGCAGTGGTGTGTGGTGAAAGCGAGAGATTTGGAGAAAGCATCAGTGTTGGGTAACACTCGACAACTATTTAGACTTATTACGTAAACCGGCTAGAAGAAGACGATAGTGAATGAAAACATCACCGTAAATGATGGGACGGGATAGGCGGCTAGGACTTTGGGTAGAACACTTTGAAGCACAGCTCAACTGGCCCGTAGCAACGCTTCGGTTGCCCAACATCCAGCCTGAGGATGAATGGGACCCATATGTCGGTCCTCCAACTCTCTTTGGAGTTAAGAAGGCTGTATCGAACCTGGAACGATGCAAAGCATCAGGACCTGACAGTTTCCAAGGATAAAGGCAGGAAATCGCTGCTTGAAGTGAGGAAGATATCGCATAGTGTACGCGGATCAGAGTTAGTGTCATCACTGATCATCCCAGCCTATAAAAAGGGAGAGGAATCTTGTGACAACCATAGTGGAATTAGTTTGACTAATATTGTGTCCAAGATCCCTGAGCCCATAGTTATCCGACACCCACCCAACTGGAGCTCGACAAGAGCGAACCCGTAAAAACTAGGCCGGTTTCAGACCTGGAAAGGGATGCATTGATCATATTTTTTACCCTACGACTGGTTCTGGGACACGGGCATACTCACCGATCAGTGACCGACACTTGCCATATTTCTTGACATGGAGGCGATAATTCGACTCTATCGACAGTGAGGTGTTGTGGCGTTGTCTGACTGTGAAGGGGAGTACCGAGCAAGTATATAACTCTAATCAAAGCTCTCTACTCGAATTCACACAGCCGTGTTAGAGAGTTATCATGTGGATTGATGACATCTAGTGGTATTCACTAGGGCTGCTCATTGTCGCCGTTCTTATTTAATTTCGTAATAGACCTACTAATGGATATAATTTTAGGTACGTCTGACTTGACAGGGGTTGATCTACTCCATGAAGTGCATCTGGTTGACCTGGAGTATGCAGACGATATTGCCCTGCTGTGTGAAGTCACTGACAAAATGCAGGGTCTTGTGAAGGCGTTGAGCAGAAATCTGAGTATCTCTCATCTGTCGATTGTAACAGTTTTGCAGAACTGATGTGCTGTAAGTACTCGCAGTTTAGTGATTCGGAGTGAAGTGGTAGAATATGTCTACCACTTCGCTCTGGGAGCCTCATCACCCTAAATGGTCTGGTTGTTGACGGAATCTCCGCTTAAATACAGAAAGCCCATTTGTCATCTGCCGACTTTCACTTGAGTTCTTCCCTAGTGGTTTATATGAATTCTGGAATTTTTATCACTTGAACAATAGTCTGGGTTTAGCATATTTGTTCTAGGTTAAATCACATGTACTCGTACACTAACTGCCTTTCGGCTATATGTACGTAGAGCTAATGTCTATTTCATTTTTGTTTGATTTGCGTTTGTTTGCTTAAATCATCGCGTGTTCTTTGTGTCAAAAAGTATTTCAAAGAAAATGCTTAATAATTCTGTGATATTCACAGGTGCTCAAACTAAGTATTACTAATAAATGACTCAATCGATTCACATTATTCAGTACATCGTGTTCCCTTTATATTTCAAGTAACTTGGAATCTAGCATAGTGAGGTCTTGTTTCACTCATTGTGAGGTCAATACTATGTTTAGTAATTTTATTTCTGGTATTTCACTTGGGAAAATCAGTATCAATCAGTGAATTCTATAAGTATGGTCAAGTTTGTTAGCCAGCGTGCCTCTGAAATAGTTTTTTCAGTTATTTTAGCTGACTTAAGTTTCTGGCTCAATGTTTATCATTTTACATCGCAGGTTATGTGTTAATTTCAAGTCATACCCTGTATTGAAATTAGATTGATAGCATTTTTCGGGAAGCTGTGGTTTAGGTACTGAATGCAACCGTTGAATCACAGATTCAAGCACCACTCCTTTCAAGAAAGTTTTAATAAATATAGTTTCAGTAATGCCCACGCAATAGATGAGGCTGTTTGGTCCGTGTAGGTTTCGGAAAAACTGAAATGCACTCAGAAACTCCAATCACATTCATACAGGTAGGCACTGAATCACACCTTTTGTGTAAGGGCTAATTGTACTTCTTGGTTACCTAAAGTTCAGTGGAATGGGGTTTGAACCTGTGACTATGGTTGCAAGTCAAGTGCTCAAACAAATGCCATGGCACAGTTCAAGCTACCAGCACTCATCATGTAGCTCAAATTCATAAGTGTTCTAGTACTCGCTGTGAAAATATCGTCTGTTAAATTTCTCAGGAAGATTAGGTTAACTAGTGGCAGGGTGTGATAGACAGATGGAATTTTATAGCAGTCATAGTAGCATAGTTCTGTCTATAGTGGTCTACTGGGATGTATAATACATTCATTTTCACTATAGTGAACCTCTCTAAAAGTATCCGTAAGTAATATCGTAACATCGATCTTATGTTCTATTCATGATTCATTTATTGTATATCTTAGCCTGCTTATGAGTAGCAGATAAACCCGCTTATTGTTGATCGACAAATGCTATTTTGAACACTTTCATCTCATTTTTATAGGTTCCAAATATGCCAATTCCTATTGAGAATATGATTTTACGTTATGTTAAAGCAAAAGCTGACTGGTGGACCAATACAGCACATTACAATCGGGAACGAATCCGGCGGGGTGCAACTGTTGATAAAACTGTTTGTAAAAAGAATCTTGGTCGCTTGACTAGATTGTATCTAAAAGCAGAACAAGAACGACAACACAATTATCTAAAGGTGTGTTACGTATTTGCTTGGTTTCCTGTAATTTACTTTAATGCTATGCTAGGAAGTAAAAGATATAGGAAAGTTCCTTCCGTTTTATTACTTCAAAATAAGTAGTCGAAATAAGTAATAATTATCTTGAAGACCTTTTCAGTGCTCACTCCATCTTTTAGTCATAAAAGTCATTATTCTCAATGAAACTTTTGTTAGAAAGTCTTAGTGTTCAAACTCTATTGCTTTATATTTCTGTGTATGTATGACACCACACCTGCCTTGTTTTTTTTCCAGGATGGTCCTTATGTAACTGCGGAAGAGGCTGTTGCTATCTATACAACAACTGTACATTGGTTGGAGAGTCGGCGCTTTTCACCAATCCCTTTCCCACCGTTAAGCTATAAACACGATACCAAATTGCTAATCCTTGCCCTTGAACGTCTTCGAGAATCTTATAGTGTAAAAAACAGATTGAACCAGTCTCAACGTGAAGAACTTGGTTTAATTGAACAAGCCTACGATAACCCACACGAAGCTCTCAGTCGTATCAAACGACATTTACTAACTCAGAGAGCTTTTAAAGAAGCTGGAATTGAATTCATGGATCTTTACAGTCATTTGGTGCCCGTCTATGATGTTGAACCCTTAGAAAAAATAACAGATGCTTATTTGGATCAGTATCTATGGTATGAAGCAGATAAACGGCGCCTGTTTCCTCCTTGGATCAAGCCGGCTGACTTGGAACCGCCACCTTTACTAGTTTACAAATGGTGTCAAGGTATAAACAACCTAAAGGTAAACCGAAAACCATTTTGATCTGTTAGCCACTACTTTCCTTTATAAAACAAAGAAAAACACCTATTTCATAGTCATTGACACCAATCATTGCATTCGAAATTATTTTATGGCGATCAACATTCATTAATAAAACAGATAATGTGTTGGAAATTAAATATTCCTGGTGTGGTCAACAGTGTAACTTGTATGACTGTTCCTCCGAGGTTTGTTAAATGATCGCCCAAATCTCAATTATTTATTAGTTGTTTCTAGGGTTCCTAGTGGAACATAGGGCTTCAGTAACACGTTGCCATTCCACTCTCTGCTCTCCAGTCTTTTGAACCTGGCTCCATGACTGCCCACAAGCTCTCATTTCTTCTTCACACGATCTCCTCCATGTCACCCTCAGCTGGGACGCCCAACTCGTCGTTTCCCATGCGGATTCCACTCGAGTGCCTGGCCTGGCGCGTGATGTCACCAATCGGTCTTCTCAATGTATGCCCAATACAATCTAATCCACCTCCACTTTCTTCTGCATATCTGTTGGGTGATAGGTTCTTGGTTGGTTCGCTTTCAGACCAGAGTTCCTTGTTGCTTATTCTTTCTGGCCATCTGACCTGATCTTCAGTATCGAGCGTAGGCAGCTGTTGCTTAATGCATGTCTGTAGTTTGTTGGAAATGCTTTTCGTAACACGCTAAGCTTCTGAACCGTATAGAAGCACTGACGTGACGTTGGTGTTGAAAATCCGGATGTTGTTGACGCTTTATGGTGAGTGCAGTAGATCTCCACACTGGTTTCAGGTTAATGAAGGCCTGTCTTGATGTCTTTCCGATCCTGACTTTGACGTCCTCATCTGTGCCGCCTCCTGCAGTTGAAGCGATGCTGCCTTCCCTAGGTTGGTGAAAGAGGCTACTTCCTTTAAGTTTCTCCCGTTGATGGTGATTGGTGTTTGTTGTTGGTTGGTTGGTTGGTTGGGTATCTTCATCGCCTCTGTCCTCTCCACCTTCAACTGAAGTCAGTCCCGTCTTCCTTCGTTGTCATGCCTCTTTCTGCCAACTTGTTAGTTTTCGCCTGTAGATCTTCGAGTTTCTGCGACAAGACAGTAGACATAAATCATCATCGTTGCTGACATCCAAATCGTGTAGGGTCTTTTCATCGGTCCAGCCAGTGTATGCCCATCTTCTCACAGCTCCTCACAGTTTGTTGCATGATCCAGTCCAGTCGACCACAACCTTGTCCTACCTGTCAACCTATCTTCACTTCAAAGCCATCACTCTGCTTTCTATTGTGAATTACTCGGCATGTAGCATCACCATATAGCATATAGCTGCTGTTGAATAAGCTTGATAAAGGTTTGTGGCACTGAAACCGAAGTGTTGGAGCAGCCGTCTGCCAAACTACTTCTCGGTCGTTGCTGTCGAAGGACTTTTCTGAGTCCATGAAGTTGAGCTCGAGATCCAGTTGACTGTCATTTTATGCTCTGTTCTATGATGATGCCTAGCGTAGCATTGCAGTTTGATCCGCACATGATGTGTTCTTCCTGAAGCCAGCCAGCCAGCCAGCCTGTTCCGGTCGTAATTTTGAGTCCACCCCATCTTTTAGTCTCTCCAAGATGATGCGACTTAATATCTTGCTTGAGGTGGACAACGGTGGAGCATGATTCTGTGCCAGTTCTTGCAAATACTTAGATCGTCCTTCTTTGGGAGTTTGACAAGGTAGCCCTTCTTCCATTCGACCAGAAGGTACCTTTACTTCCTTCCTTCCCTCCTTCATTCCTTCCAAACCTTCTGCAGTAGTGGTGCGAGCATGTCCACTGATGTCTCTGCGTCTGTTTTCAGTGCTTCTCACCGAACTCCATGTGGTTGTGCTGCTTTCCCGGATTTCACCAACTTTATGGCGTTCAGGACTTCACTTCTGCTTCTGTCGGAGGGCTTGTGTTCACTGATAGTTCTGTGACTGGGCTGGCTGTTGGTGGTATTTCTGGACGAGTTGCAGGTGGTCGTGGTCGTGGTGGTCGATTCAAGAGTTTGTTGAAGTGGTCAGACCATCATTTCCTTTGTTTCTCCCCTTTGGTGGTAACTAAGTTTCCTTCACTATCATCTCTCAGTGGTTTCATCTGTGCTGATCTCTTCCCTCCCAAATAGCAGTAACCCGGTCGTTTGACATATATATATATATATATATATATATATATATATATATATATATATATATATAAATGTTTTCAGGTCTCTGTCTCTCTTACCTGCAGCCTGTTCTGCTTCACTTGCCAATGTGTGTCGTAGAAGTGTCTTTTCTCTTTGTGGGCACTCTTCTTCACTTCTTCGTCCAGTGTAGTGTTGCATAGGTTGAGTTCAGTTCCTCTTTTCGTTGTTCATCCTTGCACTGGACTGCACTGGTTCACCTCCTACTTCACCATCTTCCTCTCTCTCCTCTATCAGCTTCCATATGTCCGTCGAGATCCATTTCTTGTCTTCTTTCTTCTTCCTTCCTAACACAGTTATGCAGGTTTCCTCCCACGTCTCTTTCACAGAGTTCCATTGTTCTTCCACGCATGTCTCTCTTTTGGAATCTGGGCAGCCTTGCTAGGCTCAAACATGTTGCAGACATTCCATGTCCCCATTCTTACTTTCGCTCTCATCGAGAGAGAGGAGACACAGCGGTCAATTGGCTTCTTGAAGGTTTTCACCAACCGACGTCATTTCGTCTCTCCGATTCCAGCGAGGAATAATTTTTTTTATTTTTGATATTTTGTTTGTGCCTTGGAGTTTCTGTAGCGGTTGGATTGGTTTTCCGGGGTAGGGTTGCTAGTGCTTTGTCTAACCGTCCCTCTTTATCCGGGCTTAGGACTAGCTAGTAAACTATGTGAAGTTCCAAATCTCACTTATTTTTTACTTATTTTCAATTCAGCGTATATCTGCGTTCTTTGTACTATTTTCCTTATGTATGTAGGAAAGCGATGTATTTCTATAACAGCTTTTTTCATGATTTTCAGGATGTTTGGGAAACTGGTGAAGGTGAATGTAACGTGCTGTTGGAAACAAAATTTGAAAAAGTTTACGAGAAGATAGATCTCACATTGCTCAATCGTCTTTTACGATTAATTGTTGACCACAACATTGCGGACTACATGACTGCAAAAAATAACGTTGTGATAAATTATAAAGATATGAATCACACAAACAGCTATGGAATTATTCGAGGTCTACAATTCTCATCTTTCATTACACAGTATTATGGTCTTGTGTTGGACTTGTTGGTCTTGGGTTTAGAACGTGCAGCTGAAATGTGTGGTCCTCCGCAAATGCCCAATGACTTTCTTCAGTTTCAGGTGAGAACATACCTTTGACATACCAAAACATATACGGTAGATGGGCATGAAAATTAAGCTTGTTCTTTACATCATTTTTTTCACAGGATACTGCAACAGAAATTGCCCATCCTATTCGACTGTATTGTCGCTATGTGGATCGCTTCTGGATGTTCTTCCGTTTTTCAGCGGAAGAAGCACGTGACCTTATCCAGCGCTACTTAACAGAACACCCAGATCCAAACAACGAGAATATTGTGGGTTACAACAACAAGAAGTGCTGGCCACGTGATAGCAGAATGAGGCTGATGAAACATGATGTGAATCTTGGTCGTGCTGTGTTTTGGGACATCAAAAACCGCCTACCGAGGTCCGTCACAACTATTGACTGGGATAGTAGTTTTGTCTCAGTATATAGCAAAGATAACCCCAATTTGCTGTTTGCCATGTGTGGATTTGAATGTCGTATCCTACCATCTTGCCGTTCGCCCGGTCAAGCTGCAGATGCTAATCTTCCCAGTGGTGTATGGCATTTACAGAACGAGGTAATGTCTGCATTCTGATTGGTGCAAAGTCTATACTCGTTCTTTGATTGAGTTTGAATTTCACGGTTTACTTTGTATTACTTCTCCTAGGTGACCAAAGAACGAACTGCACAATGTTTCCTTCGAGTTGATGATGAGTCAATGCAACGGTTCCACAATCGGGTCAGACAAATCTTGATGGCTTCAGGATCGACGACGTTTACAAAAATAGTGAATAAGTGGAATACTGCTCTAATTGGTTTGATGACTTATTACCGCGAGGCAGCAGTGAGTACAGTCACACTATTGGATTTATTGGTAAAATGCGAAAATAAAATACAAACACGTATCAAAATTGGACTAAACTCAAAAATGCCGGCTCGGTTTCCTCCAGTAGTTTTTTACACACCAAAAGTGAGTTCTTAACTATTTTTCCATTCACTACTTCTGCACAAAATCAACAGAAAACAAGTACATATTAAACCGTGAAGCTGCGGCACATCGGTCTACTTAGTTAACCCTCAACCAAGGGGGTTACAGTTTGGAACCCATCTCTGCCTACCTTCTTTTAGGCAACCAGGTAGTATCATTGGCCCCCACACAGTAGGCGCGGCACATTGCCTGCTGTACGAACGTACGCAAGGTTGCTAACTGCGCTTCGTTTTTATATGCTAAATCATAGACACCACATCTTTATCGTTGTCCTTTAATTTTACTTGGCTAAATTAATAAATGTACACATTCTAGAGATCTGTGTTACAAACATTATTTACCTTATGTAACATGTATATTACTACTTTATTGAGAAAACATAATGATTATTTTTATTTGTTTAGGAACTTGGTGGCTTAGGTATGCTGAGTATGGGGCACGTTCTGATTCCTCAGTCTGATTTACGCTGGTCGAAGCAAACTGACGTGGGTATTACCCATTTCCGTTCGGGTATGAGTCATGATGAAGACCAGGTTATTCCCAACTTGTTTTCCTATATCTTATCATGGGAAACGGAATTTCGCGACTCTCAAAGTGTTTGGGCAGAATATGCATTGAAACGACAGGAAGCAAATGCCCAAAATAGGTAAGTGTTATTTTTCTTAACACCTTAAGGTTGAGATGTATGATACGTAAACTAGTGTGACTTTTACTCGGAAACTTGCGGAAAAATATTTCTGCTTGCGTTAACATACATTGCGCAGTAAATTTAGGGAAAATGTACCGCTACTTGAGTAAATTTTGAGTCCTGTCACTTAACTTCATGGATATAGTCTTAATGCAGGTGAGAGGAAAAGTTAAAGATCCTGCAGGTATTTAAATACTAGTAAAGTTTGTCTGCTGGTGTGTTGTTTTTCTCACTTGAATCACAAAGAATGTGTAACAAATGAACGTATTCCTAAAGTTATCAAAATAGCTCATAGGGATGACTTTCAAAACAGAAAATCTCTGTGATTGGGTTAGATGTTTTTCGTCAAAATGGGTCAGATTTGTATATTTATGGTCTTTATTACCAGAGTATCGTTTGTATTTTGTGTGACATTGCATTCTGTTTTGTACTCTGGTTGTCTAGCTCATTTTTAAATATTTTTCAGACGCCTAACATTGGAGGATCTTGAAGACAGTTGGGATCGTGGTATCCCACGAATTAATACTCTATTCCAAAAAGACAGACATACACTGGCTTATGACAAGGGATGGCGTGTGCGTACAGAGTTTAAACAATACCAGGTTCTCAAACAAAATCCATTCTGGTGGACACATCAGAGACACGATGGAAAGTTATGGAACCTGAACAACTACCGTACAGACATGATCCAGGCTTTAGGTGGTGTTGAAGGCATTCTAGAACACACATTATTTAAAGGAACATATTTCCCAACATGGGAGGGTCTTTTCTGGTAAGTTTTAATTTATATTATGTAGTTTGTGTGTTTGCATAATCCACCATCCCACACTAAAGAAGCTATGTTTCAAAATACTATGTCTGTTTGTAGTCCCACTGACAGTTGGCAAACTATAATGTCTAAGCCACTAGCTCACGCTTTTGACTTTCAATTGAATGTTTATTTTTGTGATTCGGTATTTAACTTCATAATTTCAGGGAGAAAGCTAGTGGTTTCGAAGAGTCAATGAAATACAAAAAGTTGACTAATGCCCAGCGATCTGGTTTAAATCAAATACCCAATCGACGTTTTACTTTATGGTGGTCTCCAACTATCAACCGAGCTAATGTAAGTGTCAAATCGCTATGAAATAAGATTTTTTTCATAACCGAGATGAATTCATATTTGTAAAACGACTCACTACATCTAATACATTCCAGTAACGTACCTACACACAATATTTTCATATCCTTGAAGTTAAAATTATACTGCGAACGTTTTTATGCTTTTATTATGTTTGTTTGAATTCTAAGAAGCTTATCGTCAATCAGACTACCATACCACCGTGTCTTAGCTGTTTACATATCGTCAACTTCATGGTTTGCATTATTATAGATATGGAAATAATAAAATTCACAGAGTCCTAAAATCTAAACCTTTTCCTTCTGAAATATGCACAACTCTCATCGTATCTGCTTATGTAAATTATTTCAGTTAGTGAGTACATAAAAAGGATATTTTAGGGTATAGTTATTTGTAGTTACTTCATGAACGTTATATTTGGTAATTACACATCTTAGTTTCCCTTTTTATTGTAGGTTTATGTTGGTTTTCAAGTTCAACTTGATCTAACTGGCATATTTATGCACGGCAAAATCCCAACCCTGAAAATATCACTCATTCAAATCTTCCGAGCTCACTTGTGGCAAAAAATTCACGAATCTGTAGTCATGGATATTTGTCAGGTATTCGATCAAGAACTTGACGCTTTGGAAATCGAAACTGTGCAGAAGGAAACGATCCATCCTCGAAAGTCTTATAAAATGAATTCAAGTTGTGCAGATATTCTTTTATTTGCCTCTTACAAATGGCCTGTGTCTCGACCGAGTCTTTTGGCTGATTCAAAGTTAGTTGGTTTAATGATAGTGTGGTGTGAATACGTAGATACGGCTAAATCCAATATTTTTTAGGGTATATTTTCTTGACCAACTTATCTTACCGGTAAATGTATACAAAGCATGTAGCTTCTTTAACTAGTGCAACTTTAGCAACCCCGTACATATTTATTTGTGTAATATGCTGTAGGTTACACCTAAATGTTGGACTCAGAGATGTTATCCTGTCACCCAGGCTGAAGCCTTCAAAATTGTCTCAGACTCACGAAAAAAGTTTAAAATTGAACACTTGAATCGTTGGACCATACCTCTTTACTTTAAACTTGGGGTTTCATTTTATGGGTAAACCATTCACTGTTAATAGCTGCTAAAGTTTAAATTACGCAACACTGAAAGCATACTAATACTGTTGAATGCCAGTGAGATATTTAACAATTGAAACCTGTTTAAAGTATCTTTAGGGCCTGTTTTTTTACAAGGAGAATATGACTCCAGAACATTAAATGCCTGCACATATGCAGCTAGGTGTAGCCTGATCAGGATCCAGGTATTTGGCAACCGGACGTGTATAACCTTGACCGCATCGTAAGTGAATTATGAGCTAATATATTGATCCCTACCGCAACACATAACCGCAAACTTCGTTGAATGGTGGGTGAATTTTAAGGTTTAGCAGGAAATCAGTGAAGCAGTCTTTTAAATTCAACTACCAAAAGTCGATGCAATTGTTACCGAAAAGTTAGCAGTTTAAATGTGGGTTACCTCAATAGTCAGCACAAGGAGACATACTTGTAGCGTGGGACTGGTCTTTTGTTTGTAATATGGGAAATTTCAAGATTAATAACCTTAGGATTTATTTGGATAAGGATTAAAAAAAACCTATTCAGTGTACCATTGACACTGGTTCAGTTAATGTGCTGGTTATTAGAATGTATTAACTAATATACTTCAAGAACAAGATATTCAACGAAGAGACTCTTTTCAACGAATTTATTTTCAAGCTGTACAAAGAAAAGATTGTTTATGAGCCTAGAGTTTAAAGGAGACCTAGCATCGGATGTACTGAAGAATCGTCTTACCAGATCAATCAATAGGACTTTCTTCGCAGCAAAACTTCAGTTGACTTTTACCAGCCGCAACCTATTCTCCACCTGCCTCAAAGACAAGCTTCCTCGTTTGGCCGCCTCTATGTGCATCTACCGGTTCACCTGCTCTTGTGGAGCAAGGTACATCGGCCGTAGCCAGAGAATGCTTTCTACACGTATACGAGAACATGTTCCTGCTTGGTTTTATAAAGGTGAAAGAAAGTCTGTTAGAAGTTCGATTCTAGAACATTTGATTGACTTCCATCACACAACAAATCCAGACGATGACTTTGAAATTATTTATCAAATTCGCCCAAACCTCCCACGTTCTCTTCGTTTTCAACTCCTTAAAACAGCAGAGGCTTTAGCTATTCATGAACTAAGACCTGATCTGTGTGTACAAAAGAAGTATGTGCAGTCACTGTCTTTATCATGGCCATAACATTTTCCCACCCCATTAGCTCCCCCTCCCACTTTGTTAATTTAACCTTTGTATCCTTCCTTTATCACTATTATTGTTATTATAATCCCTTCACTTCAACTAGTTTCCGGTGTTGTTTCACTTAATTGTCTTAATCCTTTTAGAAAACATTGACTTCATCTTGTCCAATTTGTCTAATGCCATTACATAATACTTAATTGATTTACCATTTTCAACAATTTTCTTTTCACCCCCTTCTGAGTTATATACTCTCTATGTACCATTCCATATATTACATAATCTATTTGTTATCATTCGCACTTCAATTGTTACTATAATCATAAATGCCTATGTCATCACCCGCTCCACTATTATTGTAATCACCACATAGTGTTTAGTTTTCCTCACAGGATATAATTTTTTCTAAATACCATATATATACGATTGTACAGCTTGAAAATAAAATCGTTGAAAAGAGTCTCTTCGCTGAATATCTTGTTCTTAATGTTACAATGGGAATTATTAAATTATTAATATACTTCAACCTAGAATCCCGCATACTGAGCAGAAGTACACTTCATTGTGTCTGTGAGCACTCGTAAATGTACCGAATGGAAAATGAAATGGCTTTCATATAAGTTGTAAATAACTTTCAACACGAAAATCTTTTCGATGCTTATATACAGCTATTGCACGCCTAAATTGTTTTTCTTTACTTCTTGCATCGAGTATGCTTTGTAGCTACCTTCTTTACTTAACTTTACAGAGATCTCATGGATGGTACTACTACTCAAAAATTCTGGATCGATATTCAGCTGAGATGGGGTGACTACGATTCCCACGATATTGAACGTTATGCTAGAGCGAAGTTTCTGGACTATACAACAGACAATATGTCTATCTACCCTTCTCCAACAGGCGTTATGATCGCAATCGACCTTGCCTACAATTTGCATAGGTCAGTGTTCGCTGATTTATCAGTTGATTATCTCAAACTGTGGTTTTGATACTCCATACACCCGTCTCATTATGCTATCCTCAAGCATTGTTTACTTCATTCTGGGAATATGGCATGCTGATATTTTTTTGTCATCAACTGAATCATTTTCTAAAATTATTTGAACAGACTCCATAATAGTCTAATGCGTCCTTGTTGGAGCTTCGTTTGCGTGATGACTTATACTTCCCTCTATAAAACCACCCAATTCCAATCCCACGGAATATTTTTAAACGTATTTCTATTACTATCTTCGTGTTAATCTAGCACGATACCCAGTCTTACATTTGGATCTAATATCAATCATAATTTGAGTTTGAAATCTTACGATATTATAAAAATGGTGCATTATCGTTTTTTGCAGACTTTCAGGTTTCCTCACTAGCAAACCTATATCTCCATCAGTCACTTGTTAATTAGCACGATTGTTTATTTTCCAAAGTTTTACTCCATCAAATGTGGTCACAATAGTCTAAACACACTAGTTAGGTAGCAAAAGTTATATAATGTACAGAAGTTATTTAGTCCTTCCTTCATTCGCCAATCACTTGCTTGTTACAAACAGTTTCGAATCGTTTTACTGACAAAAATAATCTCATTCCAACCATGTCAACGTTCCTCGATGTCTCATAAAGTGCTCTGCAAATATAATGATGTACGTTTGGAATACTTATAAAGCTGAGTCGTTTAATTTTCACACATTAGAATAGCATCTGTGTAGTGTTATACAAGATCTGTTAAAATTCTAGGTCTTGTAAATTTTATGTAACAATGTGATCGATGTTAATATCTGATTCTGACCCATTGTCGTGATAATTAGCAAGTGTAAATTATATCTAAACTTTTATATTTTTCTTATCTTCAACTGATAATCATTTATCAGTGCTTATGGGAACTGGTTCCCTGGTTGCAAACCACTCATACAACAGGCAATGGTCAAGATAATGAAGGCGAATCCAGCCTTATATGTGTTGCGTGAACGTATTCGCAAAGCATTACAACTATACTCCAGCGAACCTACTGAACCTTATTTGAGTTCACAAAACTACAATGAGCTGTTTTCTAACCAAATTATATGGTTCGTGGACGATACAAATGTGTATCGCGTTACAATACATAAGGTAAGTTGGTAAACGTGAGTTGTTTTTCAAAGTTCAAAATCTTCCTCACGCTTAGGTTAGCCGTAAGATGATATGTCTTTCCCATCAAAACATCTAACTATGTATTCACGGTTCTTTATTTCTCGTATTTTGGAGGTATTTACAAACCTCCCATCCCTCTGCCTAGTTTTATTTCACTCAACGACGATCTCTATTCAAATCTTCCTTGTTGTAATGGCGAGCAAAGTGTGATACGATATGAACAGTAAGATGGTAAATCGATCGGTTTGCTTTGAGAAGTGATGCAACCGAAGAACGAAAAGCAACTTATAACCCCCCTAGGTAAAAGTGACGTCATTAACTTGAACCAACAGCAAAAGACAAGGTGGATAATCATTAGTCTTACTTTGAAAGTGAAATTATTTGCTTTTATTCGAAAGTTTCAACACAAAATGGACAGAAAACATTTTTTTTAAAACTAGTGAAAACTGAGGATAACTAACTAACCAACTATAATACGCTATTTACCAGTTGATCCACTTTTTGACTGTTGATATCATCACCCTGTGGGTCATTATTCAATTGATACTAACTACTAAAAGCGCACTTCATGGTCTACCGATTTTTTTAATCACTAAAAATGGTTAAAATGCGAACATTCTGATCCTTTCTATGTAGTGTGTTTCGATCGACTCATGCAATCAATGTAAGATGCTGAGATCATTAAAATTTCAGATTCGATTACTCTCTTGTCCAATACTGACAACAGTGTTTAATGAGTCATTATTGTAACTTCAAACTTTAAAGCTTATTCCATGTTGCATAAAGCCTGTAAGTTTTCAAGAGCTTTTCATGGGATGTTGATAAAACTCATCATAAATGTATTAGATATTGTAGAAATCTCCTGCCTTTAGTTCCCTTGTAATTTTATTCTTTTATTTTGTAGACTTTTGAGGGCAATCTTACAACTAAACCTATTAATGGGGCAATTTTCATTTTCAATCCTCGCACTGGACAGTTATTCTTAAAAATAATTCACACATCTGTATGGGCTGGACAAAAACGTTTAGGTCAGTTGGCGAAATGGAAGACAGCAGAAGAAGTTGCTGCACTTATACGTTCTCTACCAGTTGAAGAACAACCTAAACAAATTATTGTTACTCGCAAAGGCATGTTGGATCCACTAGAAGTGCATCTTCTCGACTTTCCCAATATTGTTATAAAGGTCAGATGTCAATATGTTAATTTAAAGTTGCTTGTTGTTTTCATTATCACATGATCCTAACCTTGAAACTCAAGCTAGAATATTGTAAAGCCAAACGAGTAGATTGTGTTTGCTCAAATCTTGAGTTTCAATCAGTTACCTGTTTTCACGATGCCTATTACACAACAAAGTGAAGACAATACAAGTATCGACCACAAGTTTCAGATATTGCATCTAGATAGAAAACTGATCAAATCGATTTTACATTGATCTATGAGGAAAGTTTAGGACTGCGAGCAGTAATATTGAGGAACTGAAAATTTGAAGATGATCCAAATCTTATTTTGACATGTATGCTGTTACGACTATTATTTTGAATTTAAAAATCAAAAGTTAAAACAGTTCACATGTAAAGGAGTTATCCACTTATAGATGAACAAATATGACTTTTATAAATGATAAATTATCATTCTCTTCGTGTTACCATCTTTTTGAAAACAGTTCAAACGAACGACTCATTTTGTCAAATCATATGGTATCTTTCACTTCCTATTGAAGTTTCATGACGCACTACGGTCATTATCATAAACTTTAGAATTAGGCATCGCTCTCACATCATCTCCCTTTCATTCATGTCAGCCACATTAAAAAGAGCCTCTTGATAGTGTAGTGGTCCGTATACTGAACAACTAAGATTTTTGCTCTACTCTTTTTGATGTTAAACGATATATTCCGTGGTGATGACATTAAATAATAATGTCTTTACCATGAATGTTGATCACATACAGTTGTTTTTAAGTGCATTCATTCAACAACCATATGACGACGCCACATGCCAACTGATTCACAATAGAAAGCAGAGTGATGGCTTTGAAGTGAAGATAGGTTGACAGGTAGGACAAGGTTGCCGCCTACTATCACCGATGATCTTCCTGATTGTAGTCGACTGGACTGGACTGGACTGGACTAGACTAGACTAGACTAGATCATGCAACAAACTGTGAGGAGCTGTGAGAAGATGGGCATACACTGGCTGGACCGATGAAAAGACCCTACACGATTTGGATGTCAGCAACGATGATGATTTATGTCTACTGTCTTGTCGCAGAAACTCGAAGATCTACAGGCGAAAACTAACAAGTTGGCAGAAAGAGGCATGACAACGAAGGAAGACGGGACTGACTTCAGTTGAAGGTGGAGAGGACAGAGGCGATGAAGATACCCAACCAACCAACAACAAACACCAATCACCATCAACGGGAGAAACTTAAAGGAAGTAGCCTCTTTCACCAACCTAGGGAAGGCAGCATCGCTTCAACTGCAGGAGGCGGCACAGATGAGGACGTCAAAGTCAGGATCGGAAAGACATCAAGACAGGCCTTCATTAACCTGAAACCAGTGTGGAGATCTACTGCACTCACCATAAAGCGTCAACAACATCCGGATTTTCAACACCAACGTCACGTCAGTGCTTCTATACGGTTCAGAAACTTGGCGCGTTACGAAAAGCATTTCCAACAAACTACAGACATGCATCAAGCAACAGCTGCCTACGCTCGATACTGAAGATCAGGTCAGATGGCCAGAAAGAATAAGCAACAAGGAACTCTGGTCTGAAAGCGAACCAACCAAGAACCTATCACCCAACAGATATGCAGAAGAAAGTGGAGGTGGATTAGATTGTATTGGGCATACATTGAGAAGACCGATTGGTGACATCACGCGCCAGGCCAGGCACTCGAGTGGAATCCGCATGGGAAACGACGAGTTGGGCGTCCCAGCTGAGGGTGACATGGAGGAGATCGTGTGAAGAAGAAATGAGAGCTTGTGGGCAGTCATGGAGCCAGGTTCAAAAGACTGGAGAGCAGAGAGTGGAATGGCAACGTGTTACTGAAGCCCTATGTTCCAGAACCCAGGGGACAAATAATAATAAATGCATTTTCCTTCTTTTGGATTGTTGTGATGCCACCTTCATATTACTTATGGGAGCGTTTGTAGACCTGCGAAAACCCCCCTGCATTGTCCTTTCTTACTTGCATTGTTTCATTTGAACCTTTTTCTAGTCAAATCTGGTTGTAAGACTGTTCGAAACTACTAGTGTGGTGATGTACTCAAGGCGAATTTAGTTTTGATCACTTCTGTTAATCCACAGATACGTTAGTGAAAGGAGATCCTCTCGGAACTTTTCGGTTATCGTTTTACAGTCGCCGTAGAACATAAATTATTCATTTAGCTACAGTAGAATGGTTGTCTTTACTATCCTGTGTTGCACAATTTTAAGTTTTCTAAGCGCTATCGGTATCTCAGAGTCATACTGTTTCTGACGTTTTTATATTAGTTGGTAAAAATACCATACTTCTTTGGATATAATTTATGCTCAATATACTGTATATTCGTAGCCCTTACACAGAAAAGTGTAAATGGTCACGTAACAGTTGTTTGAAATTTTCATGTAATAATGATCAATTTATACGTCAGATGATTTACGTCTTTTCATTGTATTCTAGGGTTCTGAGCTTCAGTTGCCTTTCCAAGCTTGTCTAAAAGTGGAGAAGTTTGGTGATCTCATATTGAAAGCATCAGAACCACAAATGGTCTTATTCAATCTCTACGATGATTGGTTGAAATCGATTAGCTCTTATACAGCATTTTCTCGTCTCATCTTGATACTAAGAGCTTTACATGTCAACAATGATAAGGCGAAAATTGTACTGAAACCCGATAAAACAACAATCACTGAACCTCATCATATCTGGCCATCGCTAAGTTCTGATGATTGGATTAAAGTTGAGTATCAACTGAAAGATCTTATTTTAGCAGACTATGGAAAGAAAAACAAGTGAGTTCATCATATTAGCTTGTGAAACTTCGTAAGTTTAGTTACTAAAATCATATGAATTGTGATCGTTTATTGATGAATTGGCATGCAGAATCTAGACTTTTTAAAACTTTAACTTCACTTCATTCCTGCGACATCTGGAAGCTATAAAATGGCAATTATTCATGAATATTGGAGCAAAATATCGTTCTCAACTAAATCTACAACAGTTTATAACATAGTGTTATTGCTTGTGTTATACCGTCGTTGATTGTACCGAATTGATCGGTCTCTATTGGCATATGGGCTCCTGTGCGGACGCCTCAATATACCTGTGTTCTAGTTATAGTAAAGCAATAAAACTAAAACTATACCGGTCGCACTAGAAGTGGCTATCGTGGCTCGGTGGTGTAGTGGGTAACGCTCTGGCGTTTGAAGCGATCGCTCCCGAGTCCGAATCCCGGTGGGAACAACATCACTCACTGGGAAGTAGGTACATCTATCTGACGAGTCCCAAATAGGATGAAATGCGCATCCTGGATTCCACTGCTAACCTCTATCCATCTTTAGTTTATAACATATCTTAGTAAATTGATATGCAGTGGTGATAACTTAGACCAAACGAGGATAATGACTACGTATTTTATTTGTTTGGGAATAGTCCTTTCGTTAGATTGCGCTGTATGCAGCCGCATTCACAAAAATATTTCCCTTGGTGCCTGGCAGAAAAAACAACGGTAGGCGCTTCACTTGTCAGTAAATGTTTCTCCATATCTGTTGCCCAAAATGCAACCCCTGATAAATGGGTATACTGTAGTTTGAACCCATTATCTAAAGCTGGAAGAGGAGCGTATTTGAAAAATAGTTACACTGTCCTTGTGACAACGCGATCATTATTTTTAATTCCTAATCCATATGAGAATTGTGTTTACTACTGGCTCATGCCCTAATGTGAAGTGTAGCAAAATGTTGAGTTTACTTTAAAAGCAGCAGTACAAGTAAACGACTATAAAATTTTGTCGACTTGTTGAATTGAGTTCATCGTTGAACATCAAGGTTGTCTATCAGCTTACTATTGTAGTGTAATATATTCTTATCAGTTCACAATATGATAAAGTGAATATACTGTTATTAAATATATGTCAGGAGTCTTTCATACATCTCAAGCAAACGGTATTGCAAGTTAAAATAATGGGGGTACATACTTGAAGGTAGTAGCTAAGCGATACAATTCTTGGTCTGACCCTACCACAGAAAGGTTGCATAAAACAGGGTTTCATCACTGAGTTGTTGGTCTAGTGAATGGTTAACATCCGGAACTCCGGTATGAACACTGGCTTTTATATGACCTGCAAATCACTTGTTTAGTGTTTATCGCCAGTGTTTCTTATTTCTGTTGTGGCGCTGTGGCTCGTAGGTTTAGGGAGATGACTTCCAACCAGTGGGTTATGAGTTCGAGGCTCGCTCTACCCACAGAGGTTTGGGGAGCCAGGTAGTAGTATCGTTAACCGTCACACAATAGGTGTGACTCATGGTCCTCTGCATGAATGTACACAAGGTTGTTTAAGTGAATTTCGAGTTACATGATGACCTTTTGGTTCACGATCCATAAATCATCAATAATTGATTTTGTGTGCATATAGTGGTAATTTCATAATTAGAAAATTACATCTGATCTCATTCTGCTTATTTTTCAGTGTTAACGTGGCCTCGTTAACTCAGTCGGAAATACGTGATATTATATTGGGTATGGAGATTTCTGCTCCATCTCAACAACGTCAGCAAATTGCTGAGATTGAAAAACAAGCCAAAGAACAATCTCAGTTAACAGCGACCACAACAAGAACTGTAAACAAACATGGTGATGAGATTATTTCGACTACGACATCAAATTATGAAACTCTTCATTTCAGCAGTAAGACGGAATGGCGTGTTCGTGCAATTTCTGCAACTAATTTGTACCTCCGAACTAACAACATATATGTCAGCTCAGATGACATTAAAGAGAATGGGTACACATATATCCTACCCAAGAATATTTTGAAGAAGTTCATTACCATATCGGATCTGCGAACTCAGGTAATTTTTCTTCAATTGAAGACATTGCAGTACTGAATATACTCTTGAGACAACCGTGCCTAAATAACTGTACTCTCTCTTCTTCGTATTTAGATCGCTGGCTATTTGTATGGTGTCTCCCCAGCGGACAATTCACAAATAAAAGAAATCCGATGTATTGTAATGCCTCCACAATGGGGTACTCATCAGACGGTCCATTTACCCAACGGGCTTCCGCAAGACGAGTATCTAAAAGAAATGGAACCACTTGGTTGGATTCATACACAACCAAACGAATTGCCACAACTTTCGCCTCAGGTAACATGCAATTAAACTAGCTTATTTCTGAACGAACTCACCCATTTATTACTCTATTCTTTAGAAACTAATAGACTACAGAAGTGCATACGATAGTAAGAGAAAATAAGAGTTATGATTGCTCCATCTTCTTAAGTCTGGTTGTGAATCAGTTCAGGGTACAAGATGAAATGTCTTAATAGATCACGCACAATATCTGCATGCACGCATGCGTCTGAGCTTTTTTCTGGAGTCAGTAGGTGTGACTGATTGACAGCAAAAAAAAAAACAACAGAAAACTCCACATACAGTATACTTAAACTCTTGCGTTATTAAACACCTGATCTAAAAATGTGCCATTTTAAAAGGGAAGAGATCCTGTGGAGATTTGGCTTATTGCGTGAAGAACTCAACTTCCAATTAGTAGGTCTCATTTCAATCCCCGTTCCACCTGCTTCGATCTGGATGACCAGATGGTATCATAAGCCTTCACACAACTCATAACCTAGTTGTTAGTGAAAATTGATTACTGTAGTGACCTGTTTTCTACAATAAATGTGTTTTCTACTACGAACATTTATATTCTTCATTGTTTAGTCATGTTCTCTGTGTGTGGGGGGTGGTCCTTCAGGAATTGTTTGACCATGTACTTGCGTTGTCTTAAGTTTACTCCACATAATTTATTAATAGTATCATAATTAATTTGTTTTTCATGCATAGGACATCACTACACATGCGAAGATTTTTTCGGATCAGGATGGAGAAAAGACCATCGTCATAACTTGTAGTTTCACTCCAGGTTCCGTTTCACTTTGTGCGCATAAACTTACTCCTGGTGGTTATGAATGGGGCAGGCAAAACACTGATAAAGGTAACAATCCTAAGGGGTACCTACCGAGTCACTATGAAAGAGTACAAATGTTATTATCAGACAGATTTTTGGGATTCTTCATGGTTCCTCCGCAGACATCCTGGAACTACAACTTTATGGGTAAGTTATCAGTAGAATTCAATAATTTTATCCTCATCTTGTTTAATTGGCATTTCAATATGTTTAAATGGCCGACATTTCTACACTCTCGCCCCATCCACAATGACTTCACATTTCTGTTTTTCTTTTCAGGTGTGCGCCACGATCCTAACATGAAGTATGAATTACAACCCCTTAAACCTAAGAAGTTCTACCATCGTATTCATAGACCCTCGCACTTTTTGAACTTCACATCCATTGAGGAGAATGAACTAACCTTAACTGACCGAGATAATCCTTTGGCGTAGTTGAATGCTTTTGTCATTTTATTTTCCTGTCTTCTTCCTTTATTTTGTACATTAATCACTGCGATTCCTCTCCCACTTCCATTCAGCTAACGCCGTTTGTATTTTTACATAAATCATTCCAGACAAAAATTTCGTATTTTTCTGTGGGGAAGTTTCAGCGCACAACATATATTCATCATTTTACGTTGAGATATAGCAAAAATATCGTCAAAAGTAGAATATAAGGATGGGCTGTGCATTGTGGTCGTAATATAAGGATTTTGTTGACAGATAACACAAAATTCTGAACTACATAGCAAGATTGCTGGGAAGACTGCAATCAGAAGTGTGACACGATCCCACTTAAATCTGTCCTCCAAGTAAGAATGAAGTATGGTAAGAGAGAACTGAACTGTCATTTCTAATTGAGGATGGACAGTAGAATTCGTTTGTGTACATACGTGAGGGATGCTCACTCAGAGAGCAAGTTTACGGAACTAGATATAGAACTTTCCAGGTGTTCGAATTCCCCTAAACGGTGTGATTAGTGTTATTTGCTGGCAATTACGAATCGAACATTTGGAAAGTGGTAGTATTTCCGAACAACCTGCAGGAACTATATGTGAAGCGAAATATATTCACATCTATGATAACCTACTTTGCAGCATCTTAATGTCACGTTAAAGGAGAAGTAGCACACTGTTGACTTGGAAATTAGCAAACAACAATCAGAGTTACTGACTCTCAAGTCACACAAAGGGCATCCTTTAACGGTGGCTTTTGTTTTGAGCATAATCAGTGTTTTGGTATCTGTGCAGTTCAGGGAATTTTTTAAAATGAATTACAGTGAAAAATTATTTATTCTTAGTGTTTCAGTGGGCATGTTAGAGCCTATGGTGAGTTGTCCAGGGAGCTATACTCATCAAGTGGTGTCCGTCAAGGATGCCCACTATCCCCATTCTTATTTAATTTTATCATAGATATTCTTATGGAGGTTTCCCTCTCGTCACCTGATTACAAAGACGTTGACCCGATCACAGGTGAATTTTCCTTAGATCTAGAATATGCAGATGACATAGTCCTGTTAGGTGAAGACGCTGACAAGATGCAGAGTCTTCTGAACACTTTGAGTGGGAATTTGAGAATGTTTGGGATGCGATTTTCACCACCCAAATGCAAATTTTTGCTCCAGGACTGGTCTTCAGCGGTACCGCGGTTAACAATAGAGAGTGAAGTGGTTGAGTGTGTTGACCACTTCACTTACCTGGGAAGTAGGACCAACCCTGGTGGGTCAGTTGCCGATGAGATTTCTGCACGGATACAAAAGGCTCGATTGGCTTTTGCCAATTTGCGCCACCTGTGGCGCCGCCGAACCTCGCCTGGTTAACTAGTTTACTAGTTACTAGCCGGTCCTAAGCCCGGGTAAAGAGGGAAGGTTGGGCATAGGGCTAGCAACCCTACCCCGTAAAACAAATCTAACCGCTAAAGAAACTTCAAAGCACAAACAAAATATAAAAAATGAAAACAAACTTATACCCCGCTGGAATCGGAGAGGCGAAATGACGCCAGTTGGTGAAAGCCTTCGGGAAGCCAATTGGCCGATGTGTCTTCTCTCGATGAAAGCGAAAGTAAACGTGGGGACATGGAATGTCCGCACGATGTTTGAACCCAGTAAGGCAGCCCAGATTGCAAAGGAGATGAGAAGGTATAACATCGAAGTGCTTGGGATTTGCGAAAGCAGATGGAATGGGAGTGGACTCTCCAAACTGTCAACTGGAGAATCAATAATCTACTCCGGTCACCCAGACGCCAACCACGAGCACACTGAGGGAGTGGCTATCATGATGTCCTCAAGAGCATCGAAGGCTCTCATGCAGTGGGAACCAATCTCCTCCAGGATCATGACAGCAAGGTTCAACTCAAAAGGAAGAAAGGTCACAATCATACAATGTTATGCACCTACAAATAATGCAGAGCAAGAGAAAAAGGAGGATTTCTACAGACAACTTCAATCAACACTGGACAAGACGTCAGTTGGCGATATCAAAATTCTAATGGGCGACATGAATGCCAAACTGGGAGGGGACAATACGGGAAGAGAACTAACCATGGGTCGAGAGGCGCTAGGTGAAATGAATGAGAATGGAGAATTGTTTGCAGAATTCTGTGCATTCAACGATTTGGTGATTGGAGGCAGTGTGTTCAGGCACAAGGATATCCACAAAGCGACATGGACTTCACCAGATGGACACACTAAAAATCAAATCGACTTTATCTCAATCTCAAGAAAATGGAGACGCAGTCTACTTAACACAAGGTCAAGAAGAGGAGCAGATGTAGGTTCAGACCACTATCTAGTGCAAGGAACCTTCCAAATCAAGTTAAAAGCCTTCAAGGAAGCTGGTGATAGACCTCAATTCAAGTACAACACTCGGAAACTGAAGGATGAAACTACAAAGGAGATCTTCAAAGCAGCCATCAAGACAAAATGGGAGACGTCGAGGGACATCCCTGAAGAAACCTGTGTGGAAGAACACTGGAAGTCTTTGAAAGCTGTGTGGAAAGAAACCTGCACAGCCGTATTAGGAAGGAAGAAGAAAGAAGACAAGGAATGGATCTCGACGGATACCTGGAAGCTGATAGAGGAGAGGAGGATGGTGAAGCAGAAGATAAACCAGTGCAAGGATGCTCAACGACAAGAGGAACTGAGCACAATGTATAAAACACTGGACAAAGAAGTGAAGAAGAGTGCACGCAAAGACAAAAGACACTTCTACGACACACTGGCAAGTGAAGCAGAACAGGCTGCAGGTAAGAGAGACCTGACGACATTGTATCAAATAACCAGGTTGCTATCAGGGAAGAGACCAACACAGATGAAACCAATAAAAGATGAAGAAGGAAATTTAATTACAAAAGAAGAGAAACAGAGGAAACGATGGGCCGACCACTTCAAGAAGCTCTTGAATCGACCACCACCTGCACTTCGTCCAGAAATACCACCTGCAGCCGCTGAATTACAAGTGAACATAAATCCCCCAACGAAAATGGAAGTCCTGAACGCCATAAAGCTACTGAAAGGTGGGAAAGCAGCAGGACCAGATGGAATACCGCCAGAAGCACTGAGAACAGATGCAGAGACAACAGCGGACATGCTCACACCACTATTGCAGAAGGTGTGGAAGGAAGAGAAGGTACCTGACGATTGGAAGAAGGGTTACCTTGTCAAACTGCCGAAGAAGGGAGACCTCAGTGCTTGCAAGAACTGGCGCGGAATCACTCTCCTGTCCACCCCAAGTAAAATATTAAGCCGCATCATCCTGGAGAGGCTTAAAGACGCACTGGATTCAAAACTGCGACCGGAACAGGCAGGCTTCAGGAAGTACAAATCATGTGCTGACCAAATTGCAACGCTTCGTATCATCATAGAACAGAGCGTAGAATGGCAATCAGCTCTATACCTCAACTTCATCGACTTTGAGAAGGCCTTTGACAGCGTCGACCGAGAAGTAATTTGGAAACTGCTTCAATACTACGGAGTACCGCAAACCTTTATCCGCCTCATTCAACAACTATATGAAGATGCCACATGCCAAGTAATCCACAATGGGAAGCTCAGTGATGCCTTTGAAGTGAAGACAGGAGTGAAACAAGGTTGCCTACTATCCCCCATGATATTCCTTATTGTGGTGGACTGGATCATGCAGCAAACAGTAGGCAGCGAGAAGAGGGGGATACACTGGACGACGGAAAAGAACCTAGAAGACTTGGATTTCGCCGATGACTTGTGCCTAATGTCACATAAACTTGAAGATCTGCAGGCAAAAACTAACAAGTTGACAGAAGAGGCAGCTAAGACGGGACTTCAGGTGAATATAGAGAAGACAGAAGTGATGAAGATACCGCACCACCACCATCAACAACAACAACAAACTCCAATCACCGTCAACGGGAGAAACTTGAAGGAAGTAACCTCCTTCACTTATCTAGGAAGCACTGTTTCAACTACAGGCGGGACGGACGAGGACGTCAAAGTCAGAATCGGAAAAGCAAGACAGGCGTTCATTAGCCTGAAACCAGTGTGGAGATCTTCTGCACTCAGCATGCGGAACAAGATACGGATTTTCAACACCAACGTCAAGTCAGTGCTCTTGTATGGCTCAGAGACTTGGCGCGCCACGAAAGGTATTTCCAATAAACTACAGACATTCATCAACAACTGCTTACGCTCGTTGCTGAAGATCAGATGGCCAGAAAAAATAAGCAACAAGGAACTCTGGGAACGAAGCAACCAAGAACCTATCACGCAACAAATATGCAGGAAGAAGTGGAGATGGATTGGGCATGCACTGAGAAGGCCGACTGAGGACATCACGCGTCAGGCCCTCGAGTGGAATCCCTATGGGAAGCGACGAGTTGGACGTCCGAGGGTGACATGGAGGAGGTCATGCGAGGAGGAAATGAGAGCTTCTGGGCTGTCGTGGAACCAGGTTCAAAAGATCTCAGAGAACAGAGGTCACTGGAGGCGTGCTACTGAAGCCCTATGTTCCACTCGGAACCCAAGGGACTAATAATAATAATAATGGCGCCGCCGTGATATTCGTTTGTCTATTAAGGGTCGCGTGTACTGCACAGCAGTCCGCTCTGTTCTACTGTATGGCTGTGAAACATGGCCATTGAAAGTGGAGGATACAAAAAGGCTTCAGGTGTTTGACCACCGTTGCCTTCGTAGTATAGGACGTATTCCGTGGTGTCACCACGTGAGTAATGCAGAAGTTAGGTGTAGAGTTTTGGGGAGAAGAGGTAAGTCAGTCGACGAGGTTGTGAACCTTCATCGACTGAGATGGTTGGGACACGTACTACGTATGCCTAGTCGTCGATTGCCTCGTCACACAATGTTGGCTGAGGTGGGTTCAGGCTGGAAAAAGGCCCGAGGTGGCCAGACTAAAACATGGCACCAATGTATGAAGTCTCTGACTGTTGGTTTAAGCCATGTAGGACGATGCAGGCTTCTAGGTGGTTGGGGTCGGTGGGACAAGAGGAACCAGTGGTTGGAGACCCTAGGTGATATGGCTGAGAACCGAAGTCAGTGGCGCAGATGTATACACACATTATCCTCATCTTAACAACGCTATACCGAATCTC